TTTTAATGTACAATGTGCATGTTTGCATGTATGGTTAAATTTATAAATGTGAAAGCATGCCTAAGTCTTGATGATTGAGTAAATTGTGTTCATGCACAATTTGTGTATTGTCTTGACATGTAAATTTGAAATCCAAAGTGATTTTCAAAACTATGAATATATATGTATATTGGAATGAGAAGTATATGAATATGTGATAAAGAATGAATGTGTTAAGGTTAAAAATGATGAATATATATGATAAATGTGAAATGAGATTTGATGCTCACTTGAGCAGTGCATGGGTGTGAGCCTAACGTGTTGTTTTTTTGATAATGAAATTGTGAATAATAAGTGAGCATCGTATATGGCATAATTAATAGGTGGGAATTCGCCTAGGGAGAGGAGTAGATAAAATCTCTATGGTATTTTCGGCTAACTTTCAGTACAAGAGAGTATAGCCTTGTCTCATAGTTTATTGAGGGACTGTCCCATAGTTTGTCAAGGAATTAGAATCTAGTTATCTTTACCAATTTATCGAGGATATTAGCTTAGAATATATGACACTCTAAAGATTCGAGAGTGGGAAAGTCATGGTTTGAGAGTAAGTCATGTGATCTTTGGCCAAGTCACTGCTCACAATTGATGAGTTTGGATAGTCCAGTCATGTGATAAAGAATGAATGTGTTAAGGTTAAAATGATGAATATATGTGATAAATGTGAAATGAGATTTGATGCTCACTTGAGCAGTGCATGGGTGTGAGCCTAACGTGTTGTTTTTTTGATAATGAAATTGTGAATAATAAGTGAGCATCGTATATGGCATAATTAATAGGTGGGAATTCGCCTAGGGAGAGGAGTAGATAAAATCTCTATGGTATTTCGGCTAACTTTCAGTACAAGAGAGTATAGCCTTGTCTCATAGTTTGTTGAGGGACTGTCCCATAGTTTGTCAAGGAATTAGAATCTAGTTATCTTCACTAATTTATTGAGGATATTAGCTTAGAATATATGACACTCTAGAGATTCTAGAGTGGAGAAGCCATGGTTCGAGAGTAAGTCTTGTGATTTTTGGCCAAGTCGCTACTCACAATTGATGAGTTTGGATAGTCCAGTCATACAGATAAGCCCTATTTGGTGTTATAGCTATTTAGATTGGCTAGCACCCAAGAGAGAATGAATTGAATGACATTAATTTTTTTGGAGAACTTGAAGGAGAGGAAGATAGATGCAAGAAGTTAAGAAATAAGACATAAGAGATTTATCACAGTTCAGCCCAAATCTTAGCTTACGCCCTGTCCTTAAGATCACCCTTACAATTTTCAACTAAACTCACAAGCTTCGATAAGTGCTTGCAATCACAGTACAACTCTCAAGAATTGACTAGTCTTGATTTAATACAAACCTCACTACAACCAACAAGTTATTATAATTTACTTGAAAAAACTCTTTTTCAAGATTTCAACTAAAATATAGAACTCTCAAAAAAGAACTTTCTTGAAGGAGTAAATTAATTATAATTGAAAGCTTAGAAACTTGTGAAAGCTTTTTCACAAATTTTATCAAGAATGAAAAATAATGAATGTAATGCTTTGATGCATAACTTTGAAAGCTTTTTAAAAATGTTCAAATGATGAATAGTTCACTCAAAGATTAAAATTCTTGTTCTAGGCTTGAATTGTATCACATATATAGGTTTGATAGTTGACAAATTATTGAAACAGTGATTATAGCCGTTGGTGACATTTCTTATGTGCAACTAAATGATTTACACATGAAATAGAGCTAGCTAAGTTTTAATCAAGCATATGTGACAATTCAAGAGTGAACACTAGGGTAACTCATGTGTGTTTTGTACTATAAAGAGATGCAAACAATTCTATGTGACAAAATAAACGTGCGACCCTCAAATTCTCACATGTGAATTGGTCGGCAAAATACCAAAGCCAATTTTGTGTGACGAATCACGCATGGGACCAACTTACTATCATGCGTGGCATGGATGGTTACAAAATTCAAACTATTTTGGAAGACAGATCACGTGTGGAACATTTTAGCACATATACATGAAATAGCTAGTTACAAAACTAAGCCATTTTGGAAATAATATATCACGTGTGGAACTCATGTGCATTCAAGCAAGGATTGCATGATTCAAAAAACTTAGAACAATAATTGACAAATTACACAAGCGTACAAGATGAATCAAGCTTGAAAAGGCTTACGACTCACTGAGGCAAAATGTATTTAAAAGACTTAGTGACAAAATAATTAAGATGCATTTTTGTTTTACCCTTGGACTATATAATGGTTTAGGATGTTTGGTTTGTATATTGGGCCTTGAGATGTTTTTATGTTAAGTTGTAAAATTTGATAAGGCCAAAATACTAGTGCAAGTATATAAATATGTAATTAATTGTAATTTGGAATATTGTTTTAAAATGCAATGCGAAAACCTCCCCCTTTCTGTTTTTGGTATTAAAGGGGCTGAGGAATGAATTCATGGTACAAAGTTATATATGTGCTTGTGATGTGTTGTACAAGTAGTCCTAGGTCCAATGAATATAGTTTGAGTGTTAGGAATAACTTTTGGCACTCTTGAATACCTTTTTGTTGTGAAATTTGAGAATTGATAAAATTGTGTTTGGTTGTCCAACTTTCTGGTGTGACTTGTTTTAAAAATAAAACTCATGCTATTAGCTAGTATAGACACTTAGATTATGTCATTCAGACATCAAACGGAGAATTGAGACACGTTAAAAGTTATCCCATTTCCATTATCATGAGCATGCAACACGCTACGTTGTATGGTGCCTATGTCATGGCGCGTTGCATAGAGTGGCAAGATACAACTCAATGTGCATAAGTCACGATGCATTACTCTATTTTCAATAACATAAAATTTTTCAATTGTTTTCAACTCCTTTCAATCCTTTCAGATATCCTATATTTTTGAAGCATGTTTATACCCTGATAAAAATGGTTAATAAATGATTTTTACTCATTTTTTATTTACAAAGACTTGAAATTTCATTTTTCAAATAACAAACTTGATAATTTTTTTATGAGTTGGTCTCTTGAGTACTATGGATTTGGAGTGATAATATCTTTATGACCATTTTTGATTTACTATTTCACATTTCATTCCTTCAGTTCATTTCTACCTCCCGCCTTCTTCCATTTGACCAGAACATTCTGCAGCCTCAATCCTCATTATTTGTCTCCCCCCTTCTTCTCTCTCTTGAAGATCGGATTCTTTGTCCTCCATAGCCGCTCCAAAAATTTTTTCTTTTCTTCAAAGTTCGCATCTTGAAGGATTTAGTTTCAATTTGGAAGGGTAACCATGAAACATTGATTGAGCTCAAAATATTGACCATGGCCTCTAGCAAAAAATGCTCCACACTCAGCTTGCATTTGGGATCCGAATTCTGGACCGTCCCCTTTCTTTCTGCGCTCGACAGTTTCTTGTAAACAGAAAAAGGAGTGAAGATGAAAGAGAGTAGGGAAGTAAAGAAGTTGAGGAGCACAAAACTGAAAAACAGATTGCACATTTTTGGATGATGACACTGATTGAATTTGTGATTGTATACTTGTTGTAGTATGTTGCTAAGTTTTTATTTATGTAGAAGAAAATGTAACTACTGATTGAATTATAGTTTGAATTTTGAATAGTTGTATTTTTTCTTATCATTTCTTTATTAATTTATAATTATTTATTTGTTATGATTATCTTTTATCTCAAGTGCTTATTTTATACATATGATAGATTAATTAATATATGCTTATTTTATACAATAAACAATTATAATTTTATAAAACATGATTAATTATGAACTAAAAAATTATAAAATGAATTCTGTTGTTACTTAGGGAAAATAATGATGATGCATTTTGTTGGCCGTTGTTGCCAAATCAGTTCTCAAATCAGTAATAGCTTGTTTGTTTTCTATTTTTAAAAGTTGCTTTTTGTTTTTTAAAATAGAAAAATTTATACACTTGTTTGAATAAGTGTTTTTCATTTAATTGTTTTTTAAAACTATTTTCATTTTTTTTTTAAAAACAAAAAAATAGAAACAACTTCTGATTGTTTTTATTTTTTTATTTTTAAAATATACTAAATTTTATTATTAAAATTTATATTTATCTTGACTAATTTTTATTATTGTTTATCATCATTAACTGTTTATAATCATAACTATCAGTTTATTTTTTAATTTTAAAACTATTTTTTAATTAACATAGCCAAATGGATTCTCATTTAATTTTGTTTTGAAAAAATAATTTTAAAAATTATATTACAAAACAGTTTTTAAAAATAATAAATAAAATAGAAGCCATACAGCCCTAAGTTTTCATTTTTCTAATTTCTTTCTAGCTGTTTGAGTTCTTAGAAAATGATCTAAGGCTTACATCTTTGACATTTCCAGCATATGCACAGGAAACTTATAGATGACTTGCACAGTGATATAAAAGAAGTTAAGAATAAATAAATAAAGAGAAAGAAAATGTTATAAAATAAATTGGGGACACATTCTGAATGAATTTCATAATCTTGAAAGAAGAAAATATTTTTATTGAGACTCGAATTTAATAACCTTGGAAGAGGTATATAACTCTTATTGAAGAGAAACATTGTTGTGCTGTCCTGGGTCATCTTTGTAGTATTAGTTAAAATGCCCGCACCAATAGCTTGATTTATTTTTATATATTTTTAAAACTCATAATATGAATTCTGTTGTTGCGGGAGGAAAATAACTAAAAAATATGTAAATTAATCTAATTAAAATGATATCTCACCCGTTAAAATTTAAATATTCAAATATGAGATCCTATCAAGGCATTGAAGATCGAATTTTTAATAGTAAATGACAGAATTGACCCATTGACTTTATAATATCTAACGATCCTTGGAAAAAAAAAAAATGGAGGTGAAAAAATGCCCTTGCTGTCTTAAAATAAAAAGCGTGGTCCTCAAGCAATGCTCGCTCGCTCTTCTTCCTTAAGCTTCACGATGTTGTTTATCTCTCAGATTCCCAATAAGCACCTCAATCCTTACTCCATTGACTCTCTGCCTCCCCATCTCTCAGTCACAGATACGGAGTCGCTGATGTTACCCGCCCTCACTTCGTCACAGTGTCTGTTCTCCCTTGGTGGACAACTCGTACGTAGAAGACGAAATCCTGCTTGGCCCCCCTCTCGCTCAATCGCTCAAACAACCTCACTCCCTCAGTAGTTTTCAATCGTACAAGTCTTATCTGCTTCCTCCCCACTTAATTGGTTCTCCTTGTTCTTCAAATGTTTACTTTGTGTCGATTGTTCAATGGCTCAAGTATAATGATTCTACTCTGCTTTTTGCCCTCCCATTTTCTTGTTTTGTTTTAAAATTTTCATTTTAAGTTGGCTTTGTATATCGTGTAATCGTTTGAATATTGAACCTTTGAATTTATGAATATTTACGCAGTGTTTATTTTATTATGCACTGGTGTTTGCTTGAGTGGTGTGTAATTGGCTATTATACTTCTTCCCTCTTCATTTTGATTATTAGCGACTTGTATGATTTGGATAATGTTGTTTTGTAATGTTGGATTTGTTGTGTATTGGCATTCTGTTTATTAATCTTTTTATATTACCATCAAACTTGGAAATTCTCAAGGTACTTGTGATGTATGATCTTGTAAATGACTCGGCTTGAGTTGTGTCAAAATATCTGGAACAAAAATTAAAAGGGTATTAAATCAAATATGCATATTTCAAAGATTTCAGTGGTGTAGTATAGGTCTGCCTATGGCCACCACTCTCATTTAAGTGTTGTACCATTCCATTCAGGCCTTTTGTATGATGGATTATTGTTCAGGCCTTTGATTAGTCATGTTGCCAGTAACAATTGGGAAGCACATCTAGGTTGAATTATTGCATTTTACATTTTGCTTATTGTCATTAAACTAAACGGCAAGCAATTGATAACAATGTCCTCTTTTACTTCATTATTTCCCTTTCCCTTTTTATAGAAATGCATGTCATCGTAAGTAATAATTAGGTTCTGCCAAAGTACTGATTTGTTTCTTTTCCTTTCATCTCATAATTTCTTCATAACAGATAGTTCTGCAAGTTTTGAAGTGCTTGTGATGATGGCTTTGTCGTATCAAGAATGATGAAGACTTTGTTCCTTCCTTACCAAGTAATTCTTTTTTTTTTTTTAGTGACTTTATTTGTGAAGTTGTTTTCACTGGTCAAAAGCTCAAACTTATTTCCTTAACTAGTCTTCTGTGGCAAAACAAGTATTGAAAAGGAGGTGATGCGTCCTGCTGTGGTCTCACCTCATTTCTTTAATACTTGAATGATGGCCACAGTAAGTGTTTGGATTTTGAACTCTAATAATAAATTCGCTATTTTCTTTATTAATCCCTTCCAGGACCATTATCAATTTGAAAATGTTGGAATTCTGTTCAAATGGCTTCAAGTGTAGCTGAACTGTTTCTGCAATCTAACAGTTTATTTTCATTACTCAAACTACTAGACTGTATCATTATGTACACCATTGCCTTTTGTGTGAATTGTATGATTCATCTATTGTCTATTTTGTTATCTTTGTTATAGGTATTACACTTTTCATCTAAAAAATTTGAAGCGCATAAGCGCCTGTATTCTAAAGGACCAAAGACGGAGCTTACTATTACACAACCTGATGACTGGCATCTTCACCTTCGTGATGGTGACCTTCTCAAAGCTGTAATCTCTTCCAGGTAAATTCACTTATAAATCAATAACAGAAAGGCCTGTTGTCAATCCATTTACACTGATGATTTTTAGGGGATGAATGAGAGAAATGCTTGCTCCTAGCATCTTTTATATTCCTAAAAATGAAATGATTTTCAAATCCTGATTACTGACTAGTACTGCATTACAGTGCAAAGCATTTTGGAAGAGCAATAGTTATGCCAAATTTAAGGCCACCCATTACTACCACAGCTGCTGCTTTGGCTTATCAAGAGGCCATCTTGAAAGGACTGCCTAGAGACAGCAACTTCAGTCCCCTGATGACCCTTTACCTAACAGACATGACAAGCCCTGATGAGATTAAAGTTGCAAGTGAGTCTAGTTGTGCGTGCATAGTTTAAAAGAAATTTACCCATGAAATGTATTCAAGTATATGGCAAAAATGAGTTTTCAAGAAGTAGTAGCAAGTTTAATTTGCATGTCTAGGGTTGCATATATTTACGCTCTTCCATCTATCGCTTAGATTTTTGTGTTCATCCACCTTTGCCTTTATTTTTATAAATATATTACATTTATTGATGATGCTGACTGCATTGACAGAAAGAAGTGGTGTTGTTTATGGTGTGAAGTTATATCCTGCTGGTGCTACCACAAACTCTCAAGATGGCGTTACAGATCTTCTTGGAAAATGCCTTCCTGTTTTAGAGGAGATGGTTCAGCAGAACATACCATTATTGGTACCAATATGATTTCGCTTAACTTGCTTATTTGTCCTATTTTTTGGGGAAAAATTGTTACTTTTGTTTCTTCATTCTTTCTTTCCTTTTTAACTGTATGAACCTATTTTGTATGTAATGGACACCTATTTCACACCATGTTGCAATGATAAACATGTGAAGGCTTAAGTATGAACTGCATGGTGTTTGGCAAGCCACCCAGTGACTTGTTTCCCTCTATCCATCTGGTCTTTTTTCTGACTTTAAGTACTAAGATGTCTTTTCTTCTACATCCTTAAGCTTGAATTAATTGCTTTACAGGTTCATGGGGAAGTCACAGATCCAAGTGTTGATATTTTCGATAGGGAAAAGGTTTTTATTGAAACAATTTTAGAGCCTTTACTTCAAAGGCTTCCACAGCTGAAGGTTGTAATGGAGCATATTACTACCATGGATGCTGTTAACTTTGTAGAATCTTGCAAAGAAGGTATGTCTTATCATTTGGTTGAATGATCTCTATTTTTATGTTGTTATTTCATTTTTCATAATTTTCTCATGATTTTTTTTTTGTCAGGTTATGTAGCTGCAACTGTTACACCACAGCATCTTCTTCTGAACCGCAATGCTCTGTTCCAAGGTGGCTTGCAGCCTCACAATTACTGTCTTCCAGTGCTCAAAAGAGAAATCCACAGTATGTATTTTTCTGCCATGGAGTATAAATAATTTCAACCTCACATCTTTCAGGTGCTATACCAGTCTTCATTAAAAATAACTTGAGATAAAACTCAAGGCTTTGAAAAGCAGACTGGTCATTGAACTGGTAAAAGGTTAGTGGTTCAACCGAAAGTCAACCTGGAGTCAGACCAGTCTTAATTAAAATAATTTAATTTAATTTATATACATAAAAATATTCATATTTGAATATGAAAAAAATAAATATTTAAATAAAAAATCATTAGTTTTGCTCAAATAATCCAACAAAAATTCAATGAAGAGAGTAAAATCTTATACATGTCAGCACAATGCCAACAAAAGTTTAGCAAACTCAGTAAAATCCCAATAAAAAGTTAAATAATTTTGCTCAAATAAGCTGAACCAAAATTTAGAAATAGTCTCTATCACAACTAATATTTAAAGATTATTTTGCAGTCTACTTTCCACAAATCTTACATAATCTTCTCATAACTGTTAAATTTATCAAATATATTATTAAAAAATAAGTGCATTGCAATGGACCAAGTTGACCAGTGGGGTTGCAACTGGGTTGGTCCGGGTTGGCACTACCCTAGGTTAGGTCATAAATCAGACCAGCAAATTGGATGGATTCATACTAGTTGAACCAACCAGTCCAATCTTGTTTTTCATTCATTGGATAAACTACTTAAATAAAAGGCATGAATGTTATGATTTACATGTGGCATGAATGCAGCTTTCTTCCAAAGTCTTGAAATGTTCTTATTGCTTGTCTCATCTTCTGATATTTTTCTTTTCCACATAATTTTATACATCATCATCATCATTCTATTATTATTGTTATTTTTGTTTCACAGGACAGGCTATTGTCTCTGCTGTTACTAGTGGAAGTAAAAGGTTTTTCCTTGGAACTGATAGTGCACCTCATGAAAGACATAAAAAAGAATGCCCTTGTGGATGTGCTGGCATATACAACTCCCGTGTCGCTCTATCACTCTATGCCAAGGTCTTTGAAGAGGTAACACCTCAATCATGTGTTAAATTTTACATTCTTTTATTTTCATTTGAACATTTTGTTGGGTTTAAGGAGCTGGGGAAGTGGGTGAGTTCCAGTAATGAACTAGGATTGCTTATTTATCCCTCATGGATTCAATTATTCAAATCGTATTATTTTCCTACATGCTGGCAACATAATTATTTCTTCAATCTTTTGAAGCAAATATCCTGGTGATCCCTTTGACGATATGGTCACATACATTTTTGTTTGCTTAATATATATGTATATAGATATAGATATATAGTAAACTATCTGTGAGATGCAACTGGAAGGAAAGGCTCGTGCTTTGCATGATTATTTGTAAATTGTTTCCATGTTTAAGGCTGGTGCGCTCGACAAGCTGGAGGCCTTCACGAGTTTTAATGGACCAGACTTCTATGGCCTTCCGAGAAACAGCTCAAAGATTAAACTGAGGAAGGCTCAGTGGAAGGTGCCTGAATCTTTTTCCTTTCCGTTTGGAGACATCATCCCCATGTTCGCCGGTGAAACACTTGAATGGGAGGCAGTCCTTTTTTGATTGATCCATGTCCTCTATCGAAAGTTCATTGTCTTTCTGAGAATAAAGGGAGTTCATTTAATACAACGGGACATCCATAAAGTTTCATGCAAGTCTCCCATTTAACATTAGCTTGTCGAGATTTAACAAGCCTTATGGGAGTGACTGCAATATTCCCAATCATTCTACAAGCAAGACTAATTATATTTTTTGTGAAAGATTGTAATATGATGATGGAAGATATGTTTTGTTCCCAAACTAAAAGCATCATTAGCTTAGTTGGAAAGGCGTAGAAATATTCTGCCTTTAAAATTCTATTTCAGCATATCGTCATAATTTTTCGATGAAAATAATCCCATTGGGTTTTGATAGTTTCATGATGTAAACTCTACTATCTGACAGCTGAATGAACGAAATTTGTTTTGGAGTTCCTTCTGAAAGCAGCCATTTCAATCAACTGATGACATGCGGTACAAGAAGTTGACGGCGCCACACCACACCGCATCTTTAAGCTTTCTTCGCCGAGGTTAATGTAATTTGCTATTTTGTTCTTTGATACAGAAATTGTCTTATTATTTTATAAATATAAACTAAAGCGTGACTTTTTGTTTTACATCTTTTGTTTTACACCCGCCTATTGCATGATCAACAAAACTGCAAATATTCAATATTTCTCAGTAATTAAATAATAACTGTGGTTAGTAATGGAAAATATAAGGAATTAATGGACCTGTTTAGTTAATCATTTGATCTTGGAATTTTTTATGGAATCCAACAGATTTGGGTAGCTAACAGCACATGATTTTAGAATAAACTATGAACAGTGTTGGGTTTCCCAAGTGCTAAACCTACTCATAGTGACATAAGATAACAATTTATTGCAACAGTGGGTCGCATGAGCATCGCGCGTGGGTGGCTGTTAAAGGGAGTGGTAGTCCTAAAACTTGTTCCATGAAGCCCAGTCCCCTTATCATCAAAGTCGTATCTCCATCTAATCTGTTATCATTGAAGTCTCTCTTGTAGCTAGAGAAAAAGAATGGAAGAATGACAATTAAGTCCCCCAATACTGAATTAATGGCAGGTAAATCCTCAACATGTGTTTTTTAAAATAAGTTAAAAATATTAATTTAAATAATCATAAATCCAGAAGTTTTAATTACAAATAAGTATTTAAGTAGTAAATATAATTCTTAATTGTAACAATAATTTTTATTTGTCCTCATATGAATTGATATTTAAAATTTATTTTGTATAAAATTTTGTTGGAAATTTTACTATTATTAATTCAATCTTTTAAAATCCAACTGTCATTCTCTCAAAAAAAAAAAAACTATACTTAGACATTAATTATACCAGATTATACTGAGACACAATCATGTAAATTAAATAGGCTTGGAAAGATCATACTGCACTGAGGATTCTCATAATCAGTTTTTTCCATTTCCTCTTGAGTCGATCGATGCACCTAATAAGTCTCCCATTCCTTTTAGATCATTCTAGACGCTTCTAGGTCATTGAAAGAGGAACTAGATGTTGTCTTGGTTATCAAGGAGGAGATGAATTTCATTGTATTTGTTTACCTCTTCAAGCTCTCATCAATATTAATTATTAGCCTTGTTATAACCATGGACGTTGTGGAGCTGGCTCATGTCTTCTAATTTTAACTTCATCTTTCTTCTTGTTAGTTAAATATTAGGTCACAAATACTCTCAAAATCTCAAGGTAATAACTTATATTAAGCAACTCGCTTATTTGTATTTATATATAGCATGTTTGAAGACGTACAAATTATAGTACAATACTGTACAAGAGAAAATCAGAAACCAAGACTGCACAATACTGTACAATACAAACTTGCACTGCACCACCATTAATTAATATCCCTTGGACGCATGCACAGCACTGATATTAATTTATTTTCTTCTGGTTAATTAAAAGCTTCATGGTTCGGAAGCAATGTCAAAATCCCAAAACTAAGGGTTTATTCCCACATCATAAATCTTTTTAGCTTCTCGCTTGCCAGGTCGATCCGAATTGCAAAACCAATATCAGTTCAATTACACTGAGAACTGAAGGGGGAGGGGGATTATGATTTTCTCGAGAAACAAATAGAATGTGGAGGAAAATACCTCTGCATGCATTGAGTAGCCGGCAAGCGAGGAATTAGCACTCACGACCTGTCTGTTCTCTTCATGGAGTATGCGAATGATCACATCGAAAACGAACTGGTTATCCAACCCAGTGATCATAACAACCTCTAGAGTGAACAAACTTCACAAAGTCGGGAAACATGTATCAATTTGGTTGTGAAAGAAGAACAACTCAAAGAGACACGTATATTTATTGACCAAGGATTTAATGGTCTATGGACATTTGGATGGGAAAATTTCATTAAGGACCTCTTGACTATAAATATTAAAAAAGAAGACCTCAGAAATCATGATATTTCACTTCAAGGCTAGGGTTTTGATTTGATATTAATTTTTAAAGCCAAATAATAATATTACCCCTCATTGTAAGAAAAAAGAAAAGATGGAGTTCAATGAAGGGAGGTAGTGGAAAAGACGATGGAAGTGCAAGAACACTCTCTCCCTCTTATTCTCCCTCTCTTGCTTTGTTTGAGCAATGGCAACTTGTTCAACTTTGTCTGACACCTCAATTTTATTCTCCAAAGTGTTTATACTCATTCTTTTTCTCTTCACAATGAGATTACGAGCCTCATGAAAGTCATTTAGAGTGATTTCTTGATCTGCAAGTGACTTTTTTATAGTTTTTACTCAAGCCATCTTCTTCAAAGAGTTGGACATAGGATTAGATTGAATCAAAGATATGAGAGGTTTATTGAGAGATTAGGCTAAGGTTTTTGGTTGAGAAAGTGTTTAGAAAATAATCACGGAGGGAATTTGGTTTTGGTGAAGTGATGATTATTGGGTTGAGATAATCTAATTTTCCTATCGATATAATTTCGAGATATGGGTAAGAATGAGACAAAGGCACCTCTTATAACACAAAGTCATATTGAAATGTTACCAACTTACTGATATGAAAAAGTAGCCATTAGAAGTAAATTTTAAATGAATGAACAAGATTAAAAGATCAAGATAGAGAAAATGTACTTGTCATGCTGCTATGTCTCTAAAATACCAATATGTGTAGTTCATACCAATATGTATGAATTCTATCAGTATGTTGTGTGGGTTTCTATAACAACCTTTGTTATATTAGTATGTTGTGTTGATATCAGTGTGAGTTATTTATACTAATATGTACTAGTTCTATCGATATGAGTTTAAGTTTCATCTAACTTAAAAAATTCCCAGTGACTTGTTTATCACCCTACTTTATATGATTCATCATCCTACAATATCTTGTTAATTTCTCTACCTTACTTGTTTGTTAAAAGTGTGGGTCTTTATAATAGCCTCTATCATACTAGTTTGTTATGTTGATACTGATATAAGTTATTCATAATGATATGTACTAGTTCTACTAGTATGAGTTTGGGCTTGACTTAACTTAAAAAATTTCAAGTAACTTGATCGTCACCCAATCATGTGTGGTTCATCACTCTACAACATCCTGTTAATTTTCCTACCTTACTTGTTCGTTAGAAGTGTGGGTTTTTATAACAGCTTCTGTCATACCAATTTGATATGTTGATATCGATATGAGTTATTCATAATGGTATGTACTAGTTCTACTAGTATGAGTTTGAGTTTCACTTAACTTGAAAATTTTCAAGTGACTCGTTCGTCACCTTACTATGTGTGTTTCATCACCCTATGATATCTTGTTAATTTTTCTATTTTACTTGTTTGTTACAACACTAACTTAAAAAAAATTTCAAGTGTTGGTTAGTTTCATGTTTGGATAACTTGTTTGTCACCCTACTATACGTAGTTCATCACCCTATGAAAAGTTGTTAATTTCTCTATCTAACTTGTTCATTACAACACTCTAAATTGACATAAAACTATATATTTATAGTTTATTTTTCCTATTTAATGTAGTTGCAAATGAACATAAACAATTAATTAATTCCCATCTAATGACTTTTTCATATATACACAAAAAAAGAACAATTTTAAGGAATTTCATGATAACAATAACATGCCAAAAGTTATAATATTGACATTGTTAATAATTGGAATAAGTAATTTAGCTTCACCTCTTCTTGGCATTGTCACTTGCAAGGAGTTGCCACACAACACCATGTTTAGTGTTCTTCTTGTAGTTCCCATCCAATGGAGTTGCAAAATTCCATATGAGCTTCTCTTCTCAAAATTGACTCTATCATTAATTGCTGCTTTGTCCACTCCTTGACTACTTTTACATCAGAAAATCCACCCTTTTAACCAAGGGGAATTTTTGCCAAAAAAGGTGCACAGAAACAAGTCAAACAATGCAAATAAACAATTGTAGTGAGGGGATTAACAACTAAACATTAGGGAATGAACAAGTCTTCATACAAACCACTAATAAGTAGCCACCAATGTTTCTTGTGCCCTTGGGATGACATGACTTTAACAACTATTGGCATTTCGCTATCTCTTTGCTCAACTCATCATGTAACATCCTAAAAGTTATTTCCTTAATTAAGTAAGCTAATGAAGGATATATTTCTAAATTTCAATATAAATAGATTTGAGAATAGTTAGAAATGGCTATTGAGTTTTGGCTTTAGCCTTTAGATTGGGTTTGAAAATGAATTGGATCACTCGAGCTCAAATTGTAAAAAAAAATTAAATTTTGACCTAGTGCATTACGCTACAACATTAAAATTTATGCTGCAACATAATTTCCAAAATTAGCTTTTTTAAAAATGCGAAAAAAGGGTCTAAAATAGGTGAAGAAGACTAGAAACAAAGGGAGGGCAGCGAAGAGAGTGACTTCTCTGCTAAGGCATCAACTTGTAGGCATTTTGGAGGTGATTGGAGTTTGATTTCACCTAGTAAGTCTTCCTTATTTCTTCTTCTTCTTCTCTCTACACGTTTTAGAAGTGAGATTTGAGGTTGGAAGATAATGATTTTTGAACCTAAGGCTACGGGTCTGAATCTATTAGTTTAAATGAGACTAATGGAAGTTGTTTGAGTTATTTAAGCCTAGATATAGTAGTTTTGTGCATCCATAAGAGTGAGCTCTTAATTATGGATGAATTTATGCCCACAAATGCCATAAATAGTAGTAGTTGAGGTAAGTGGCTACCATGGATGTTGACTAAATATTTTATTAGTGTTAGTTGGAGCTAATGAAAGTTAATAAATATAATGTGGTGATTAAACTCAATAGTTGAGAGCTTTAGGTTATTAAAGTGTTGAAATTTAAGAGTTGGAGTAAGTAAGTTGTGACATTGATGATAATTTTGGGTTGTTAGATAATATATTAGTGATTATTTAAGTTGTTAAAAGCTAAATGAAGGTAATGGGAGTTAAGAAACTCATTGAATGTGAGGTTGATCTTTTAGTTGAGAAATTTAGTTATTAAAATATAAAATTAGATGTTAGAAGTGATGATTTTAATTATTATTAGTGATAGGTGTTAATGTAATTGTAGAATAACCTCATAAAGCACCGGTGAGTTTGAATTTACCTCGAAAAGCAAGCTATAAATGAG